AAGGAAAAAGGAAGAGGGGCCGACCAAGGGCAAGATGGATGGATGGCATCCTTGAAGTGACTGGACTGACCTTGAAGGAGCTGGGGGTGGTGACGGCCAACAGGGAGCTCTGGCGTGGGCTGGTCCATGAGGTCACGAAGAGTCGGAGACGACTGAACGAATGAACAACAATACTTCTGCCTGCTGACTCATCTCACTACTTTGAGATTTGGTTGCTTGACTTTAAATCGGGTTGTTGTAGGTTTTTCAGGCTGTATGGCTGTGCTGGTACAGCTGTACCAGAAGCTCCCACTTTATTTGCTTTGTATTAAGTGTTTGCTTGCAGCCCAAGGCTTGGGATTCTGCAGAAGGGTGGCTTCCTGTTAAAGTTTGCAGTTATAGGGCAGGCCCCCTGTCCATCATCGTTAAGTTTGGTTCCGCCCCCTGTTCAGGACAATTGAGAAGGGAAGGGAGCCATTTTCAGTCAGTCTCAGCAAAAAAAGTCAATGTACTGGACGTGTACAGACTTCTCCTGTACAAAGGCTCAACCCTTAAGACCTCCCGGGGGAGAACAGGTTTAAGAGCAAAAGGATTCCCAAAGATTCCTAGGGAAACAGCCCTAAAGATCTGAGGAATTTTGGAGGGAAAAAGCAGCTTTGAACATCTAAGAACTCCAGCTGAAGTGACTACAGGCCTACTGGTAGGTCCACTCAGTGCTTTGAGACGCAGTCCAACCCGGTAGTGGATCCACATCAATTAGGTTTAGGTTCACAGTTAGCCTGGGAGAAGTTTGGAAAGGGATTTTCCTTTAGAGTAAAAGTAACAGTTAGAAGCCACCAGTTGCACAAAGCCTGGAAGCATTTGCTTAACCTTTTGAAGACAAAGGAAGTTTCTGTTGATTGTTCACCAATAAAAGACTTTGTTATATTTTACAAGTCCTCTAAAGACTGTTAATGGTGAAAATCCTTACGTATTTCTCTTTGGGCCCCCTGGCTTCCCGCTGGGCTAAAGTTGCACGTCCTGTTTTAAAAGCAATTCGTTTCAAACCCAGCGTGCGACAGAACATTGGCCATGTTCTAGAAGTATTCTCTCCTGGCGTTTCACCTGCATCAATGGCAGGCATCCTCAGAGCTTGTGAGGACCTCATAGATGCAGGAGAAACATCAGGAGAGAATACTTCTAGAACATGGCTATACCAGCCTGAAAAACCTACAACAACCAGTGATGCTGGTCATGAAAGCCTTCGACAATACATTGACTTTAAATTGGTGCAATACTGTCTAAATCTGTATCTTATGTAGTTGACATTTGGTATCTGCTGAGGCTTGGTTCTGGAACCACCACCCCATGAATCCCAAAACTGGTGGATGCTCAAGTCCCATTGTTTAAATGTTTAACCATGCCTTCTCTTCCACCAGCATAGTTTTCCTGGTGAGTAGGGTCTTGGCCATTGTGGTTATTGTTGCTGTTGCTGTTGCTGTTGCTGTTGTTGTGTGTCTTCAAGTCATTTCCAACCTTTGGTGAACCTATCATGAGTTTTTTCTGAGGCTAACAATATGTGATTTGTCCTAGATCACCTGTTGAGTTTTCATGGTTGATCGGGGATTCAAACCCTGTTCTGAAGTGATAGTCTGATGCGCATAATAACTATGGCACATTGACTCCTGGTCTTGGTCATAGACTGCACTTAAGCAGTCAATCCCATACCAACTTTTGGAAAGGTCCTTTATGCCATCTCTGCATAAGTGTTCCTCCAGTTAATATTCCTTCTAGAAAAGAAGTTAGACATTCTAGAGATGTGTCATTTGGTGGAAGGAACTGATTCAAGGTCTTTGAGAAAAAAAATTAGAAGCTGTTTCTTCAGCACCATCGCTGTTTCTAACCTGTCTCAACTAAAAACGAATCCAGCTAAGTTTAAGGCCACCCCTATATAATTACATTCCATTTTAATATGACACACATTACATTTAGAGAGGATCGGAAACAATAGACTCAAGCGAAGCATGCTATTTTGTCATTTCGCCAAAGCCCTCATGAGCAATTGTACCCTGTCTTTACGCTGAGAACATATGCTTTGAAATAACCAGAAATTATCTTTATTCTGTCTTTGGGGAGAATTTAACATTTAATAAGCCATGTAGTGTATGAAAAGAAAATGGTAAACATTCATGGTTTGAGCTGTCATAAAAACGAAGCAGAAAATGCCAGATACAATTTTCCTTTGTCCTACTTGCTTTTTGAAGATGAGAAATGGCTGGTGTTTTGGCAAAGCCTAGATTTCTCTGGAATTGTTTAGCAGAAGCGAAGAAATTGAATAATTGTATCCCCTCCTCTATCCCCTAAAGAAGGAGGAATTGCATTATTTTAGATATGTGGTGGAATGCACAGCTTTTTTTTAAAGCCGTGGTTTCTATGTTTTCTTTTTTTTTTTTGGTACAGATTTAATGTGGTTACCCAGCTTTAGTGACATTAAACAGAAAGGTGTCATATACTAAAGACATACATTAAACTAAATAGTAGAAATACATCCTAATCTTTTGAATTCTTAGAAGAAAGGAAGGTCTAGTGGCCCATTAGGAAGGTAGTACTTAGAGGAAGCAGTGAGTAAATTTATTAATTTTCTTACTGTTAAAAGAAAGGTTTTAAAATGTAGTTTTTGAAAATTATTCTGTCTTTAGGACTCATTCTGTGCAAAATTTGCACCAGAGTTGTTTTTCCTCTTAGAACAGCAGTTTCTAAAAAAGAGGAATTTTCTGCACACAAAGTACCATAATTCGGGGCCAGAATAAATTTTTCCTATACAAAACTTGCTGTTTTCTGAGCAAAAATATAACAACAACAACTTTATTTGTACCCCATCATCATCTACTCGAAGGGACTCGGGGCAGCCAACAAAGCACTCAAGATGCCACACATAAAATAGAATTACATATCATCAAAACAATACACAATTTGAATCCAAACAATGGACAACGTCAATCAATAAAATTAAAAATTTTAACATTTCTAAAACAATTATACTTGTGAGTCATTGGGTAACCATGTTTTTAAGCTTGAACGGAAGGTTTGAAGATTTAGGGCTAATTTAATCTCTCTAGGGAGGGCATTCCAGAGCCGGGGAGCCACCACCGAAAAGGCCCTCTCACTCGTCCCCCACGAATCGCACCTGTGATGATGGTTGGACCGAGGGAAGGGCCTCCCCAGCAGATCTCAAGGCCTGTACCAGTTCATAGGAGGAGATGAGGTCTCAAAGATGGGTTGGATCTGAAGCATATAAAATAAAACTTTTCCATGTCCTTTTTGCATAAAATAACTCCTGGACTGCGAAAATTCTCATCAGAATTTTCCAACACTTACAAAAATTGACATTCTATAAACTAGGATTAAGACTGTATTCAAGAAATAAGAAAAAGACAAAATATTGGAAAAGCAGCTATGAACAAAGGAAACAAGATCCTCAAGTGTGGAAAGATAGATCATTCAGTACTAAAGCCTTACTTTACTTACTTAGGCAATCCCTCGCTTTCCGAGGATGATTGTCTTCCAATATTCTTGTGGGTCCATATGTGGCTGTGGACCCTATTCTTGCTCTGCATCTTCTTCCGCAGTGAGGGCATTGGTTTCCAGGTGGAAGGCGGTCTCGGCCGGGGTTGGCTTGACGCGCTTCCTCTTGGCACGTTTCTCTCTTTCACCCTCCATTCGTGCCTCTTCAAATTCTGCATCACTGCTGGTCACAGCTGACCTCCAGCTGGAGCGCTCAAGGGCCAGGGCTTCCCAGTTCTCAGTGTCTATGCCAGAGTTTTTAAGGTTGGCTTTGAGCCCATCTTTAAATCTCTTTTCCTGTCCTCCAACATTCCGTTTTCCGTTCTTGAGTTCGGAGTAGAGCAACTGCTTTGGGAGACGGTGGTCGGGCATCCGGACAACATGGCCGGTCCAGCGGAGTTGGTGGCGGAGGACCATCGCTTCAATGCTGGTGGTCTTTGCTTCTTCCAGCACGCTGACGTTTGTCCGCTTGTCTTCCCAAGAGATTTGCAGGATTTTCCGGAGGCAGCGCTGATGGAATCGTTCCAGGAGTTGCATGTGACGTCTGTAGACAGTCCACGTCTCACAGGCATAGAGCAGGGTTGGGAGGACAATAGCTTTATAAACTAAAGCCAGGATTGTCCAGGACATAATATTTCCACTTCCTTTGTAAATGTTTTGAAACCAGTAACAAGAAATGAGTTTGGAAAAGAACTATTTTGTTTTAAGCAGTCAGATCATTGCATACATTTTCACCCTAAATTATTCTTACTGTTATAAATTGTTTGTCATGGTTTTGTCGTATGCCTACTGAAGGATCGTTGTATTTGTTGTTGTTCATTCGTTCAGTCGTCTCCGACTCTTTGTAACCGTTGGATACAAACATTTAAATGAATTAAAATCTCACTAGTAACAAAGTTAACTACACTGAAACTGTCTGGTTTTGGACATACCATGAGATGGCATGACGTGTTGGAAGAGATGATAAGGTTCAGAAAAGTGGAAAGAGGAAAAGCACATTATAGATGGATTGATTCATGGAAACCACAACCCTGAATTTGCAAGACCTGAGCAATGTAGTTGTTGACTGCAGATCTTGGAAGTCTCATTCATAGTATGCATCATCATAAATTGATGTTGACTTGACAAAATAAATAAATAAGAAATATGTCGATACACTTCTATAAAGGGATACTGCTCTAATGTTATAAAAAAACTTAATTCTAAACCTCTCAGAGAGCTTTTGCTATGTGGCAGGATGTAAATATTTTCAAATATAAGAAAGCATTCAGTATTTGTTGAGCTTCCCATTCTGTAAGACCCAAAGACTTCTGATTTCAACGGAGTGGCTTTGCAAAAGACCACAGCTGCAAGCCAGGCCTGGCGTGTGCATGTCTTAAGCCCTGTCCTTTCATACTCACAGTTGTTGTGTTTTCACCTTTCCATCATCCCTCCTCATTTCAATTATGCGAATTCATATTCTCTGTTTCTTTTCTTAGAATCGGTGGATAACTGCCCCAGCAACTGCTACGGGAATGGTGATTGTATTTCCGGGACCTGCCATTGTTTTCTTGGTTTTCTGGGGCCAGACTGTGGCCGAGGTAGGATTTTTGTTGTTATTACACATGGCTTGGTATGTAAAATGGGATTCTGTAACCATGCAAAGGCACTGCAGACTACTTCACCCAGAGATGTCAGCCATAGCAGAGCACCTGAGGAACCAACCTGGACACAGCACAGAAATGCTGGACCACTCTCACAACCACCATGTCAGACTACACAGAGAAGCCATTGAAATACACAAGCATGTGGACAATTTCAACAGAAAGGAGGAAACCATGAAAATGAACAAAATCTGTCTACTAGTATTTAAAAAACTCTAAAATTATACAGCAGCAAAACAACAGAGAGGAAACAAACAAGGACATCTAATCACCTCTCAACAAAAGCTTGCTCTAGGCAATGTCAGGCCATTATATGCTAATCAAGGTGGTCAGTTGAAACATCCACACCTAGCTCCAGCAGACAAGAGTCCTTTGTCTCACCCTGGTCATTCCACAGATATATAAACCCTTTTCCTAGTTCCAACAGACCTCACTACCTCTGAGGATGCTTGCCATAGATGCAGGCGAAATGTCAGGAGAGAATGCCTCTAGACCATGGCCATATAGCCCGAAAAAACCTACAACAACCCATTCAAAGCTTGGTTTTTAGCTTAACTTTCTTTATATTGCTACCCCAATAGTGGCTCAGAAAGAGCTATATGGGCATCCTATGGAAGAGCACATTTGCACAATCCATGCTGACCGAAAAACTTGGTGCATTACAGCCTGGAGAAGTTTATGAAAATTCCAACTATCAACCACTGTTCCCTGCTTTTCCAGGAAACATTCTACTTCTGAAACTGTGGTTTCAACAGCTACCATTAGGATCACAGTATTTCTGGAAAGTGTCTGATAATCTGTTTTAGCAAACTGGTTGCATTTGGGCATGATGCATTTTATCATTACGGGAACAAGCTGCTTGAAGCCTTGGCTCTTGCATGTACCACTGTTCTCCCATGCCACCCCCTCCTCTCAGCTGGCACTGCCGCAGGGAGGAGAGCAGGAGCTTACAATTTTATTAGCTGCAGCTTGTCATTATGTCAAAGCCCGGACAGACTGCTAATTTAATATTGTATAAAATCAGTTTCCAGAATGCCTTCCAGGAAGTGGGCATCAGTAATACACTGCAAGTGAGGAGGCAAATGGCAGGGCACAGGAGAATGAAGTCATCTGTGTCAGCGTCAATGGAAAAGGGGAGAACTTGGTAGGAACAAAATTAGCAAATTAACCAGCCTGACTTCCAACCATAAGCTGGGAATTTGGTGCCTTCCCATAGTCAAGATAAACCACAAGATAAGATTTGCATGAAGTGCTAAAATGAGGAAACTTCTTCAATCTTGATGGCCTCACTGTAGAAACGAAGGAGACGTACTCAGCAACTGATGAACCAACCTGATGAACCTGATTCCCCCAGGCACTTCCAAGCCATTAAATGCTAATCAAGTGGTCAGTTGAAACATTCACACCTAGCTCCAGCAGACAAGAGTCCTTTGTCTCACCCTGGTCATTCCACAGATATATAAACCCTTTTTCCTAGTTCCAACAGACCTCACTACCTCTGAGGATGCTTGCCATAGATGCAGGCGAAACGTCAGGAGAAAATGCCTCTAGAACATGGCCATATAGCCCGGAAAAACCTACAACAACCCAGTACTCAGATCTGTAGGCCATCTTTCCAACTCAGAAGAAACATTTTAGCTTTTTAGATAGAATATGTTGAACAGAAATGCCACAGTTAGAGCTCAGAAAGCCGTCACAGCAAAGCCTTTGGTAGATTCAAGGCAGCAAAATCAGGAGGCTTTGGGGACAATTGTTTGGACAGTAAACAAATAATGGATGTATTGTCGAAGGCTTTCATGGCCGGAATCACTAGGTTGTTGTAGGTTTTTTCGGGCTTATATGGCCATGTTCTAGAGGTATTCTCTCCTGATGTTTCGCCTGCATCTATGGCAAGCATCCTCAGAGGTAGTGAGGATGCTTTCCATAGATGCAGGCAAAACGTCAGGAGAAATGCCTCTAGAACATGGTCCTATAGCCCAAAAAAACCCACAAGAACCTAATATGGTATCTAGGTCTAAATGCATACAACCAGGCTGAAAAGATTGTCCATAAAATCTAGAGAGGGCTATGGTCCCACACCCAAAATTACATCACCAAAGCTCTTCCTTTCATTCAGAGATGATACATTCTGCTTCAAAGGTTTAGAAGCCAGTTCTCATGAGGAACAGCATAGTGGGATCTGTTTATGTTTAGCTTGGAGAAAACAGAGAGGTCTCATATACTCACTGATGAGATGTCATGTAGAATCATAGAGTTGAAGAGACCTAATGAGCCATTCAATCCAAACTCATTCTGCCAAGGAAAATCACATTCAAAGCACTCCCAACAGATGGGCATCCAGCCTCTGCTTAAAAGCCTCCAAAGAAGGAGCCTCCACCACACTCCGGGACAGAGCGTTCCACTGCTGAATGGCTCTCACAGTCAGGAAGTTCTTCCTAATGTTCAGGTGGCATCTCCTTTCTTTCCTGTAGTTTGAAGCCATTGCTCCATTGCGTCCTAGTCTCCAGAGCAGCAAAAAACAAGCTTGCTCCCTCCTCCCTATGACTTCTCCTCACATATTTATACATGACCACCAAGTCTCCTTGCAGATGAAGATGGAATGAGCTTGTTATCTGTTACTCCAGAGATCAAAGCAGAAAAAGACATTCCACTTGAAAATTAGGAATAAACTCTTGGCCATAAAAAGATGTTTAGCATACAATAGGGATGCAAACCCTTGATTTATAGTCATATCATGAGTTTATTGGTCATATCATGAGTTTATATGGTCTTAAAATTGTTTTTGTGTGGCTATATTGAGTCACGGTTTGTACTTTTGGAGGAGACATATTAGCAGTGGTACTGTTAAGGATTGGAAGATCTGCATAGTTAAAGCAATGGTATTTCCCGTAGTCACCTACGGATGTGAGAGCTGGACCATAGGGAAGGCTGAGCGAAGGAAGATCGATGCTTTTGAACTGTGGTGCTGGAGGAAAGTTCTGAGAGTGCCTTGGACTGCGAGAAGATCCAACCAGTCCATACTCCAGGAAATAAAGCCCGACTGCTCACTGGAGGGAAGGATATTAGAGGCAAAGATGAAGTACTTTGGCCACATCATGGGAAGACAGGAAAGCTTAGAGAAGAGAATGATGCTGGGGAAAATGGAAGGAAAAAGGAAGAGGGGCCAACCAAGGGCAAGATGGATTGATGGCATCCTTGAAGTGACTGGATTGACCTTGAAGGAGCTACGAATGAACAACAACGAATGAACAACAACAACTGTCCCATCAGTCAGAGTAAAACAAAGTGGCTGGACGTGTGGGACCCAGTCTTTCTCTTTTGTGGCAGCCTGAGGTCACGGAATACCTTCCCCTTTGAACAACAAGAACAACTAGTATAATCCCAATGTCAAAGGAAATTGTGGTTTTTTGTTTGGTTTTGTTTTGTGTTTTTACCAAAGCATTTGGATCCTAATGTATTTTATCCACATCTGCAACTTTGTATGCTTTACTGTTATGAACTGTTCTGACTGGTCTTGTTTTAACTTGTCTGTTTCTTTAATGATTTTAGCTGTTTAAAGGATTTTATATTATGGTTTTAAATGGCTCAAATTGCTTTAAATTGCTGAAATCTTTGTTGCTTAAAATTATTTTAAATGGCTCAGATTTAAATTGATTTTATTGCATTTCACCCTGAGAACTTTAGTTAGAGGGCAAGACATAACTATTCCGATGAAGATAGAGATAATATATTCTAGACTCCAATATGGCAAAATTTCATATTCCTTTTCCTCTTACGTTCTGTTGCAGCATCGTGCCCTGTGTTGTGTAGTGGAAACGGGCAGTACATGAAAGGGCGGTGTTTATGCCACAGCGGATGGAAAGGGGCCGAGTGTGACGTCCCGACCAACCAGTGCATCGATATCTCTTGCAGTAGTCATGGCACTTGCATCATGGGGACCTGTATCTGCAACCCAGGGTACAAAGGAGAGAGCTGCGAAGAAGGTATTCATGAGCACCATTGACTTCAACATTTTTTCTTTGCTTGCCATTTCCCTTCTACAGGCAAAAGAGCCCTGTGATAATTACTCTGTATTAGTCATGTGTGCGAAATTCATTCCTACCATTTCTTTCATGTCTTCCGTTTCTTCGGAAAACAGGAAGCCCTCTCCACACACAGAAATCTGGTCAACACAAAAGCCTGCTTTCATGTTGAGCTGAAATTGCCTTCTTGCCTGCATTTGGGCAGGCCTGGAGCTCTGCTGCAGGAACACTCTGGGCCTACCTGCACACCCCTCCACACCCCTCCACACACACACTCTCTCTCTGAGAGTGTGGCAGGGTATGTGTTAAAGTGCACGCCTGCCTTCAGCTGAGCGCCTCTCCTCCAGAGTAGTAACAGCAGGTGCCAGGTAAGAAGAATGCCAAAAAGAGGTGCCAGTGGGTGAGAAGCCCCCCCCCCCCCACACCAGTGCTCCGAACTTCAGGTGACCGATCCAAAATAACCTCTCAATTTCAGGAAACGTTCAAAAACAGATCTGGGCCCCAAAAAAAGCCGGGACATGAAACAGGGCAAAGTTTACCCTGAAATTTATTTTTTTATTTATTTCCGGTATTTCTATCCCGTTCCTTCTAAACCCCCGAAGGGGGACCCAGGACAGCTTACATTTGGCAGTGATTCGATGCCATTACATACAACAGAGCAATATAATAACAATTAAACAATAAGTAAATCATTCATTAAAACAGTAAAAAAAAAACCAGTATTAATAGCCGTAACATCGTTCCGGTCAATTCCATATCCAATTCCATGTCCAAAGTGCTATCTGTGTCTGTTTTCCAAAAGCCTGGTCCCAGAACCATATCTTCAAATTCTTCCTAAATGACAGCAGGGACGGAGCCGATCTGATCTCAGTGGGAAGCAAGTTCCATAGGCAGGGGGCCATAGCAGAGAAGACCCTGTCTCTCATCCCCGCCAGACATACTTGTGACATTGGTGGGAGTGAGAGCAGGACCTCCTTGGATGATCTTAAATGCGAGGCGGGATGTAGAGGGAGATGTTTTCGGACAAGTAAGCTGGGCCAGAACCGTATAGAGCTTTATAGGTCAAAACTAGCACTTTTAATTGAGCTTGGAAGTGTACCGCAGCCAGTGGAGCTGGCACAACAGGGGGGTGGTATGCTCCCTGTATGTTGCCCCAGTTAGTAATCTGGCTGCCGCCCGTTGGACTAGCTGAAGTTTCCAAACGATCTTCAAAGGCAGCCCCACGTAGAGCGAAGAACAAACCACAGGATGTAATAAGAGCCTGGACCACCGTAGCGAGTTCAGACTTCCCAAGGTACAGGTGGCACACAAGCTTTAACTGTGCAAAAGCTCCCCTGGTCACTGCCAAAACCTGGGGTTCCAGGATCACTCCCAAGCTGCGAACCTGCGTCTTCAGGGGGAGTGTAACTCCATCCAACAGGCTGTAACCCTATACCCAGTTCAGCCTTTTGACTGAAAGCACAGGACTATTCTGTAAATCTTGTATAACATGAGTATAAGTCTAGAAACACCAAAACCGGGATCAGCTTATCAATGGGTCAATGTAAGGACTGTGCCTGAACTCTTATTAAAACAAGAGGCCAGTCCCTTCTCTGAATAAAGTGGTGAAAGGCAAGAGCTTAGTCCATCCTGGACAAATCTAAAAGAAGCACTGACCCTGTCTACTCTATCTGTCATGGCTGTGCTTCTGAGAGAAGCAGAACGACCCCCAACCTATCCAAGGGTCATAACTAAACCCATAATTTTGGCACCAAACTTGACCACAACTATATACATAAGGTCAGCATATGCATGAGAAAAAGTCTAGAGAGTTTAGAAAAACTTGGCCCCAAAAATCTACATCAACTTATCCACAGGTCAATGTAAGTTGTGTATTTAACTTTGATCAAAAGAGGAACCATAGCCTTCTCTGAATACATAAAACAGCATTTGAGGAATGCACACCAAACACACATATAATAAAGTACAATATGTAAAACACAGCAGTAACACAGTGGGTCTAACAAAGCTATCACACTATACAACTAAACTATATATACTGGGGAATACAAATGACTTCCATCTTCCTCGATAAATGAAAGGCTTAATTGGGCATCTACAAGAAACATCTCTCTACTCATTCTCGAAACCTAATACTGATATCCCAACCCTGTTATATATCTGTGAAACGTGGACTGTCTACAGACATCACACTCAACTCCTGGAACAATTCCATCAGCGTTGCCTCCAAAAAAATCCTGCAAATCTCTTGGGAAGACAGGCAGACAAATGTCAGCATGCTGGAAGAAGCAAAAACCACCAGCATTGAAGCGATGCTCCTCCGCCATCAACTCCACTGGACTGGTCACATTGTCTGAATGTCTGATCTCCGAGTCCCAAAGCAGTTACTCTACTCCAAACTCAAGAACGGAAAATGGAATGTTGGTGGACAGGAAAAGAGATTTAAAGATGGGCTTAAAGCCAACCTTAAAAACTGTGGCATAGACACCGAGAACTGGGAAGCCCTGGCCCTTGAGTGCTCTAACTGGAGGTCAGCTGTGACCAGCAGTGCTGCAGAATTCAAAGAGGCACAATGGAGGGCAAAAGGGAGAAACATGCCAAGAGGAAGGCGCGTCAAGCCAACCCCGACCGGGACTGCCTTCTACCTGGAAACCAATGTCTCACTGTGGGAGAACATGTGGATCAAGAACAGGGTCCCACAGCCATCTACGGACCCACTGCCAAGACACTACACTTGGAGGACATTCATCCTTGGACTCCGAGGGATCACCTAATGGAATTTAATGTTGAGTCCTGGCCCTTGAGCGCTCTAACTGGAGGTCAGCTGTGACCAGCAGTGCTGCGGAATTCAAAGAGGCACGAATGGAGGACGTAAGGGATAAATGTGTCAAGAGGAAGTTGCATCAAGCCAACCCTGATCAGGATCACCTTTTACCTGGAAACCGATGTTCTCACTGCGGTAGAAAATGTGGATCAAGAACAGGGCTCCACAGCCACCTACGGTTTAACTACCAAGAGACTACACTAGGAAGACCATCATCCTTGAGCTATGAGTGATCACTTAAGTAAGTTATACTGATATTATCCTCTAACAAGGTTTCAAAAAGACTGCTTCCTCTTCAGAACGCTTTTCCATATTGTGCCTTGAAATAAATGCTGCTTTGGAATCTAATATCTCTTTTCAAAAGCCCTTCCTAAGACCTCTTTCAGTGCTCCATTGGGCCTGAAACAATAATAATAATAATAATAAAACTTTATTTATACCCCGCCACCATCTCCCAAAGGGACTCAGTAAACAAAAGCAATAAATAAAAACAACAATACAACAAAATAAACTCAAAAACAAATAAACATTAACAGTAACACACAGTATTTAAAACCTATGGGCCAAATGTAATAATTTAAAATTAAAAAATATGCTGGGCATGAACAGTAGGATATAGGGTTTTCAAGAGAGTTGAGGGAACGCAGTGAGTCCTGAATCAGTGGTAAAGTGCATTTTGAAGGCATATTGCTGAGAGTTTTCCTTATTCAGGGAAGGCACACTGGAACAACCACGTTTTCTGGCTCCTCCCAAAGAGTGCCAGAGTTGGGGCATGTCTGATGTCCTTGGGAAGTGAGTTCCAGAGTCGGGGGCCACCACCAAGAAGGCCCCTTTCCCTCGTCCCCACCAATTGCACTTGCGAAGGAGATGGGAGCGTGAGCAGGGCCTCTCCAGACGATCGAAGAGATCGTGTGGGTTCGTATGCAGAAATGCGGTCACGCAGGTAGGCGGGTCCCAAACCGTTCAGGGCTTTGTAGATAAGAACCTGCACCTTTTTTTTTGCTTTACATTCATTTCCATGTATTTTTGGTGCTGCATTTTTTCTCTCCTCCTTTTGTTTATGTTGGGATAAAAGTCCCTATTATGGTTGTGAGTGAATATAACTGTTTTTTAATGCCGGCTCTTCATTATCACAAAGCACGGTACAAAACAGCTCTCGGGGCGACAGTGACAGACAGATGAGCGAGTGTCGGCAAAATACCCATCAGTCAGCTGTCAGCAAACATGGCACGCTATAAAACAGACAAGACTGCGGTTGCAAATGGCAACTCTTTATAGAGGCCCCTCTCCTCATTTGTACCATGTACATTGGCTCTTGACATTAAGGATGGAGAAGAAATTTGCATTAATCAAACTGCTTTGCAGATTTATCCAGTTCACGGTCTATGAGCTAAAGAGTGCATGTAGCTTTCAGTGTGCCATCGCCAGGGAAGAGAAAGAGAAGCATGTGGATTCATTCATTCATATTTCCCCCTACTTTGAGTTATTATACAAATAACAGGACTCAAAATGTGTATCTTTGTAAAATGTGCCCAAGCAGGCTTGAGAGTGAATGAGGAAAACGCAAGTGAAGGATGGTTACATAAAAGCTGTTTGCCCGTTAGGCAAAGTGAGAAGCAAAAGAGATGTAAATTTCCATGCCCCATTGATAAAGCCTTGCCCGCAAACACAAACAAGGACGGGAAGAAAATAGAGGCGCGATTCAGGGAAATGTAACAAAAGGAAACGCTTCCTTTGCTGTCAGAGCTTTCTTTTCCTTTTAAAATATAGTAATCCATCAACATTTGTGAGTTTGACTTTTGTGGATTTGGTTATTCTCGGATTTGATTAAAACGTTCACTCTAGAGCAATCTCTGCATCCTCCTGCGTGACTAACCTTTCCATTGTGATTTCATGGTCAGCTTCCAGCAACAGTTGACCATAGAATCATGCTACAACACTAAAAAGAATTGCAAAAAAGAGGTTAAATATATACTCTGAATCATTGGTTGTGGTGGTGGTTTGTTGTATGCCACAGAATTTTCGTGATGAGATGGATAGAGAAAAGTTTGCCATTGACTTTCTTTGAGGCTAAAAGACTGCGATTTGCCCAAGGTAACCAATTGAGTTTCCATAAATGAGTGAGGTGCTTTTGAGC